CAATTCATAAATAGGATATAACACTAGTGAGTATAAATGCATCCAGCAACAAAGCACTTAAATGTATAAGGCCAAAGGAAGACAGCAAGAGAGGAACAAAGGAACTACAAAACACTCAGAAAACAATTAACAAAATGGCAATAGTAAATACTTACCTATCTATAATTACTTTAAATATATAAGGCAAAGATAAACAGAACTGAAGGGAGAAATAGACGGCAGTACAGTAATAGTAGAGAACCTCATTAATCCACTTTCAACAATAGAATCATTCAGAAACAGAATCAAGGAAACAGTAGACTTGAATAACACTGTGACCAAAGGGACCTAGCAGATATATACAGAACATTCCATCCCCAAACAGCAGAATATGTTGTTCTTTTCCCAGTATAAATGATATGTTGGGCCACAAAACATGTCTTAACAAATGTAAAAAGATTGGAAGTATATTAAGTATCTTTCCTAACCACATGGTATGAAACTAGAATAACCAATGGATGAAAAAAGAAATCAAAAAGGTGGAGTAAAAATACCTTTATATAAAGGAAACATAACAAAACTTATGGGATGCAGCAAAAGTTGTTCTAAGAGAGAAGTTTATTGCAATAAATGCCTACATTAAGGAAAAAAAAAGAAAGATCTCAATTAAACAACCTACCTTTATACCTTAAGGAACTAGGAAAAGAACAAATTAAGCCCAAAGTTAGCAGAAGGAAGGAATGAGAGTAAAAATAAATAAAATGGAGAATAGAAAAACAATAAGAAAAATTAATGAAACTAAGAATTGGTTTATTGAAAAGATAAACCCAATTGACAAACCCTTAAGTAAACTTTTATTTTTAAAAGAGAAGACTCTAAAATCCAAAATGAAAGAGAAAAGATTACAACTGATGCCACAAAAATAAAAGGGATCACAAGAGACTATTATAAAGTTATACGCCAACAAATTGAATAACCTAGAAGAAATGGATAAATTCCTGGAGACATGCAACCTGCCAAGCCTGATTAACAAAGGAAAAGTCTGAACAGACTAATAAGTAAGGAGATCGAATTAGTAATCAAAAACCTCCCAGCAGGCTGGGTGCAGTGGCCCATGCCTGTAATCCCAGCATTTTGGGAGGTCAAGGCAGGCAGTTAACCAGATGGCTTCACAGGTTAATTCTATCAAACGTTTAACAAAGAATTAACATTAGTCCTTCTTAAACTCTTCCTAACATTGAAAAAGAGAGAACACTTTCAAACTCATTTTATCATGCCAGCATTACTCTGATACCAAAGCCAAAGACACTACAAGAAAAGAAAAGGATTGGTCAATACTTCTGATAGATGCAAAAATCCTCAACAAAATACTAGCAAATAAATCCATTATCACAGTAAAAGAATCATATATCATGACCAAGTGGGTCTTATCTCTAGGACACAAAGATCACTTAACATATGCAAATTAATCAATGTGATATACCACATCAACAGAGTGAAGAATAAAAACCGCATTATCTCAGTAGATACAGAAAACGCATACAGTCAATTGATTTTCAAAAGGGCGTTAAAACTGTTCATTGGGAAATGAATAGTCTTTTCAACAAATGGTGCTGGTAGAACTGGATATACACATACAAAAACATAAAAATAAAAATGGACCCCTACTTCACACCATATACAAGAATTACTGCAAAATAGATCAAAGACTTAAATGTAAGAGCTAAAACTATACAACTCTTTTTAATTTTGTTTATTTATTTATTTTTGGAGTCTTGCTCTGCTTCCCAGACTGGAGTGTGGTGGTGCAATCATGGCTCATTGGCCAGCCTTAATCCTGGCCTCAAGTGATCATCCCACCTCAGCCTCCTGAATAGCTGGGATCACAGGCTGCACCATCATGCCTAATTTTAGTTTTTGTAGAGATGGGATCTCACTATGTTGCCCAGATTTGTCTTGAACTCCTGGGCTCAAGCAATTCTCCTGCCTCAACCTCCCAAAGTGCTGGGATTACAGGTGCGAGTCACTGCATCTGGGCTATAAAACTTTTAGAAAAAGAAATAGGAGTAAATTCTAATGACCTTGGATTAGGAATGGTTTCTTAACTATGACACCAAAAACACAAATGACCAAAGAAAAAACAAATAGGACTTCATCAAAATAAAAAATTTTGTTGCTTCAAAGCAAACTTTCAAGAAAATGAAAAGACAACTCAGAATGGTACAAAATATTCGCAAATCATATATTTGATAAGGGCCTTCTATCCAGAATATATAAAGAACTCTTACAGTTCAGTGATAAAGAGACAACACAATTTAAAAATGGTCAAAGACATTAACGGGAACAGTAGACACTGTGGACTACTAGAGGGGGAGGGGTTGCGGATGCAATATACCTATGTCACAAAACTGCACGTGTACCCCCTGTATGTAAAACAAAAGTTGAAATTTTTAAAAAATGGTCAAATAATCTGAATAGACATTTATTCAAAGGAAAAATATACAAATAGCTAATAAGCACATGAAAAGATACTCAACATCATCATTAGTCATTAGGGAAATGCTAATCAAAACCACAGTGAGATATTATTTCACAGCCTTTAAAATTACTAAAGTAAAAAGCATGAGCAATAACAAGTGCTGGAGAGAATGTGGAGAAATTGGGACACTCATACATTGTGAGGAGGGAATGTAAAATAGTACAGATACTGTGGAAAACTGTTAAGCAGTTCCTCAAAAAATTAAACATAAAGTTACCATTTGACCTATTGATTCTACTCCTAGGTATATACTCAAGAGGAATGAAAACATGTGTACACAAAAACTTATACATGGATGTTCATAGCCGTATTCTTCACAGTAGCCAAAAGGTGGAAACAAACCAAATGCCCAAATATGGATGAATAGATAAGTAAAATGTGGTACATCCAAACATTGACATATTGTTCAGATGTAAAAAGGAATGAAGTACTGATACATACTACAACATGAATGAAACTTGGAAACATTATTCTAAGTGAAAGAAGCCGGTTTCAAAAGACCACATATTTTATTGCTTCTATTTATGTAAAATGTCCAGAATACACAAATCCACAGAGACAGAGAGTAGATTAGTGTCCACCAGGGACTGAGAGGAGAGGTGAGATTGAGAGTACATGTATGAGGTGTCTTTGGGGGATGATGAATATGTTCTGGAATTAACGACAATGGTTGCATAACCGTGAATATACTAAAAGCCACTCAATTGTACACTTTCAGGGTGTGAATTTTATATTATATGAATCATAGCTTAAAAAAAAAAAAAAAAAAAATTGAACAATTGCAAGGTTGGGTTTCTAGGACCTGGAGCCAGAGACTCCTCTTGGAGGAGTGAATCAAGTAGCTCAAGATCAGAGTAGGAGTTGGTAGCCTAGGATAGAATTTTTGAGGGCCAAGGAAGGAAGTTTCTTTTTAATCTTGTGAGCCATGGGCCAAGGAGGACCTTAGGGGGCCAGAAGAGCTTGAAAGTAGATATTCAATACAACTCAGAGGCAGAGGGGTTGCTACGGCCCACTCTCTGAGAGGGCAAATTCTATGGAGACATTACCTAGGAATTACCAGAAGCATTAAGGGTAGAAAGCTGCCGGGTGCGGTGGCTCACGCCTGTAATCCCAGCACTTCGGGAGGCCAAGGCAGGTGGATCACCTGAGGTCGGGAGTTCAAGGCCAGCCTGACCAACATGGAGAAACCCTGTCTCTACTAAAAATACAAAATTAGGCGAGGTGGTGGCGCATGCCTGTAATCCCAGCTACTCGGGAGGCTGAGGCAGGAGAATTGTTTCAACCTGGGAGGCGGAGGTTGCAGTGAGCCGAGATCGCGCCATTGCACTCCAGCCTGGGCAAAAAGAGCGAAACTCCGTCTCAAAAAAAAAAGGGTAGAAAGCTTAGGAGCACTGTCAGCCTTCAGGCTAAATTCTAGATTGCTTGGTATAATACATAGGCTTAAGAGAACGGGGAAGCACTTAATCCATATCATCCAAATAACTAAAGCATCTTCTCCTCCAGGAATACCTCTATGTCCTCCGTTCCCTGACTTCCATCCCCTCTTCTGTGCACCTCCAATCTGTATCTCTGCCCTTGCATTAGATTGAAATTTTATTTTGTATTTGTCTTTCCTACTAGGAAGAGGAGTACCAAGATGGTCAGGGATGACGTTTTCCTCATCTCATAACCCTAGGACCTAGCACAGGGCCTGAACCTGCCAAGAACTCAGCAAATGCTTGCTGAACCAAGGAAGAACCAAAGAGACTATAGGAATATTTCATTCAGGGGAGAAAGATCTATTGATTATATGTATATACACACACACATATAAGAAATATATATATACACACACACACATATATATATTTGTTTGTTCATAGCATGGTAACAGGCTCACTATTTGTAATAGTTTGTAACAAACACCTCTATGTTTTGATGTGATGATTTTGTCAAGTAGTTATCAGGCTTCTACTATACTAAAGTCCTTGAAGTCAGAGACTGTCTTACTCATCGTTTTATCCCTTCACGGCATCCAGTACACTGGCCTCTGTGCAATAGATGCTCAGTCATGATTTATTAATTTAAATTTAGTTAAGCAAGTTTAGGACAAGCTGACTTGGAAAACAGCCTCAGATATATTAAGATAAAGTGCTAAAATTGACTTATGAGGGAAGGCGGGGTTTCTGTGTTTGGCACTAAAATTGGTGCAGACCATCTTGTTGTCTGTGGAGACATAATCTAGGAAGTACTAGAAGCATTGATGGTGGAGAACTCCTCAGGAGTTACTTGTCCTGTTGCCTCCAGAAAGCTTCAATACTTGAGTATTTTTATTTTTATTATATTTCTTGATTATTTTGATTAAAGAGACAAACTCCCATCCTTAAATAGATATCTTCAGCAAGAAAGTGTGGGGATCTAGTGAAGTCTTCACTAGCAGCCAACATCCCAGTCCGATGTACACAGGGGCATCCATCTCATCATTTATCCCATCTTTTTTCAGAACATGAGAGATATCTGCAAGCCAACAACAAAGAATTCAACAGTATTTTTGTATATCCGGTGAGTGTCTTCCCTCTGGCTGTTTCAGAAGGGGGTCAGTATTCTATAATATTCTTCTTTGTTGGGGGAGCATGAAATTCTTTGTAGATGTAGATCCTATATAACACAGATTCTATTACATTTTCTTTCAAGCTCCTAAACAATGAGTGGTGCAATGAAGGCTCAGAAGCCAAAATTAATCCAGTGACATAAGCTAGGGAGAGAATGTCTCAGATTTCAGGTTTATATGTAACTCCCAGAAAATAAATACTGTAGCTTTTTCTTGCGCAAATGAAAGCATAGTTCTACAATTTTATTTTTTCACTTAGACATTTATCTATGACAATACATATAGATATCCCTCATTTATTTAATAGCGACATTGTTTTTCATTATATTGATAAACCTTGATTTATTTAGTCAGTCTTCTATTGATGAACATTTAAATGTCTTCAGTGTTTTGCTATGCTAAATGGTGCTGAATGAACACCATCATACATATATTTTGGCACATTTGTGTGACTGTATCTTGTGAAAGTTTCCTAAAAGTAAATTGGCTGTGCCAAAAGAAAAACACACTAAAAATTTAAAATTATCAGAGGCCAGATTGTCCCCAAAAAGAATTATATCCATTTATGTTTCTACTTAAAGTAGAGACTGCCCGTTTCTCCACATTCCTATCAAACTCGCTATTATCAATCTTTTTCATCTTTGCCAGCTCTTAGATGAAAATGACATTCATGTTAATTAGCCTTTTGTATTTCTTTTTCTGGAAAATACCTATTAATGATCTTTGCTCACTTTCTGTTGGATTGTTCATTTTTCACTTATTTATGTATCTATGACTAAGTAATTCATGAAAAGATATATATTGAAAAGGCGTGCTCCAATACCCCATCCTTGTCCATATCTGCTCCCCTGAGGGAAACACTGTTAGTTTTCTTGTGTGTATTAATCAGATTAGTGTCTCTTTGTGCAAATAAAGCAAATACAAATATATAGTCTTATTTTCCTATTTTCACACTATTCTGAACCTTAACACTGTATCCTGGAGATGTTTTCATCATCATAATTTTATAATAGTTTTTTTCTTTTTTTTCCTTCTTCAGCTATAATATATAGTATTTGCTCTGTAGATTTAACATATTTTATTTAATCAGTTCCTTTTAAATGGACTTTTGGGTTGTTTTCAGTCTTCTGTGATCACAAGCAATGGTTTTATACATAATATAATTACATGCATGTGTAGCTATGTATACATATACATAGCTATAATTATATAAAAATATATGTTTGTGGTCTCTGTGGGATATTAGTTTATGATTTCTGAGTAAGAGTGGTATATTAGTCCAATCTCACACTGCTATAAATAACTACCTGAGACTGGGTAATGTATGAAGAAAAGAGGTTTAATTGACTCACAGTTCCTCAGGCATAACTGGAAGCATGACTGGGAGGCCTCAGGAAACTTTCAATCATGGCAGAAGACAAAGGGGAAGCAAGCACCTTCTTCACATGGTGGCAGGAAACACAGAGAGAGAGTGAAGGGGATCCTACACTTTTAAATCATCAGATCTTGTGAGAACACAAGAATAGCATGGGGGAAATCCGCCTCCATGATTCAATCACCCCCCACCAGGTCCCTCCCCAACACTGGGAATTACAATTAAACATGAGATTTGGGTGGGGGACACAGAGCCAAACCGTATCAAATGGTTCTGGATAATAATAGTATCCAAGATATGACCGTGAGAGCAGGTTTTTCTCTTCTGTATCTTCGAGACCTACATAACAAGCAGTGGGGACAGTAAATCTAGGTTTGGGCATCAGACAGATCTGAGCTTGAATATAGCTCAGCCTTTACTAACCTTAATATCTTAGGCAAGTTTGTTAACTTCTCTGATCTTCAGTTCTTTCATCTGTAAAATGGGCATAATAATGTTCACCTTGCATGGTGGTCATAGGAGTTAAGTATGGTTCTGAAAATGTTAGTTCTGTTTCTCCAATAATTAGCCCTTGGAAAAAGGGTATCTCATTTATCTCTGCATACAGAGTATATCTGTGATACAGTTTCTATCACAATGTTATGCACACAGCCAACATTCAATAAATATATATTGAATATTTAATGAGTGAATGAACAGATTTGACTGATTCTGATATATTTAACACCATTTCATTTCCCTGGCCCTGAGCATTGCTCATTTTCCTGTTTCTCTGCCTTCTTCCACTGTGACTCCTTGTCATCTTCCCAACTCCTAACTACTGATTCTCATTACATCCTTGGCCTTTTATTCTCTTCTATTTTCCCAGTTAACCTTCAGTCCCATATCACTGCCCAAAGAAAAAAATAACCAAACCAAAATTAACCACCTCTATCATGTTTAAATTTTATCACCTCTGCCAAAAGGACTAAACTCTGAGGAACTTCATAGTTAAGGAGATGTTATTAGGATATTGCTTCTGGTTTTACATTTAAGAGCAAAATGAAACACTCTAGTTGCCAAGTTAGTAAACAAATACCTGTACTTCTATCTTGAGGCAGAATGCTACCTACGTGAGTAGAAACCTGAAATATATTAAATGACTATAAAATCAAATGGAAAATCAACAGTGAAGGCTAGCTACATCAGTAAGGCCACCTCTCAGAAGATCTTTGGGTCCAAGTATCACAGCCATCTGGACTTAGACACTGAGAAATTCAAAGTATCTTATGATCAAAGAAAGCTATTTCCATGTTAGAATTATATACTCGCATGACAAGAAGGGCCCTTAGAGATCATTTCACTAGAACTTTGTTGGAGACAGACCATGAGCTTCTCCAGAAGAGACCCTGTCTAATTATTTTTCAGCCTCCACTAGTATAGTCCAGCATAGGACTGTGAACAGAGCAAGCCTTGAGAAATGCTATAGTGTCTGATTGATTATTATTTAGAAAATCATGGAGAGAACACCAAGGAAATCTTGGTTTTGGCTTGGATCTTTAAACTCCTAAGTGCTAAGTTATTTGACCGCTTCTCCTCCCTGAGGAAACAGACCTTGGGCAATGCTTGACTGGATAGCCT